GGGGAGAACATGCAAACTCCACACAGAAAGAATTGAACTCAGTTGAACTCAGAATTGAACTTCTTGCTGGGCAGCAACAGTGCTAACCACTGTGCTGCCCCCAAACTTTGCCAAATTACCAAAACAGAAAATGCTATTGCATGCTACATTTAGGCTGTTGATACAGTCTCATTTTGTGGCTACTCAGAAAATTACCTATGCTTTATTGTTTTCTTTTGGTGATTATATCACAGTGATTATATCGCATCTGCAGAAGCTTCTCAAACCTTCTATCAGATAGTCTGTACCTTTCAAAGAAAAGCACCAATCCACCTAAACTCAACAGCCATTCCACTGGTGCACTGGATGGAGTTGGAGTGTTGTATTTCATGTACATCCTTTTGAGATTTGGGAACAGATTCAGAATCTCAAGCTCATACACCGAGGGCTGGTTCTCAAATTCAAACAAGTCCATTTCGGCTGGGCTGGCTGGCCGTTGGGACACATAAACATTGTCAGTTGCCGGAGCAACTTTATGACACTCTGCTGTGAGAAGTTCCTTCATCCTTCCTTCTTCCTTCACATGCTCTCTCCAACACTCATCTCTCAGTCAAGGAAGTTTAAAATTGGGACAAGTGGCGGCTGTGAGAATTCCTTCTTAGCTATCCAGAACAGCATCAGAACAAGTCTCGATGGCCTGTAACATACAATATGATGCAACTAAGAATAACATTAATTTACTATATAATTAGCTGTTGTAATTATTTTGTAGGTTTTACTGCCCTAAACCATCTTTTGTGCTCTCAATACTGTATGAGATTTAATTTTTTGTTGAGGCTTCTGTTGATATTATGATTAATATTCATGATTAATGATGATCAATATCCCTGATATTTAACAAGGGGTGGATATTTAGTTTATTCTGTCTTATAATTGCACACGCAGCTTAAAACAAAGTGTAACATCCGCCATGAATGGTCTAATAAATTCAACAAATCCACTCAAAGCAATCTTACCTTTACAATGACATCTGGAAGGCTGGCTGTTATTCTAGAGAGGTCATCTTTCAGGGCAAGTGTCTTTGACATCATGCTTGTGAGTATTGGTTGTGAAGCTCCATAGGTCACTCATCCACTTGTAAGATGTCCAGATTTACTGTCAGGGACTTCATCACAGTGCAGTACTCTTTCTAGAATTTGTACTTCCTTTTGGTAAGGCACTTAATTCTCATTTTTACACACAGAGGATTAAGTTAATTCAAGGGAATTGTGATGATTCTGGCAATGGCCCCAAAAGGGAATTCCACCTTTTGGATGTGGGTACCATTAGCTTCCTGCAGCTGACTTCCTCCACCTGTTCAGAGGCTAATGTTGATTGACATGCTTTAGGCCAAAGAGCAGAGCATTTTGCAATGCTACTCCTATATACAGCCTTTTTGTCTGCATGGGAATTTAGATGTTTGTCAACTTGTTGAAATCAGATTTATTGTGTGCGATGAACATCTGTACTGTGGAGGGCGGCTAAACTGTGAATAACCAGATGAGGTTG